GAGCGGGAAGAAAATTACAGTATGAGGCGATCACTGTAACTGTGTGTGTGGGAAAACATGTCTGAGAGGAGGCCAGCACGTGTGTGTGTGTTTAATGTAAAGCAGCGACTTCTTTCATCTCAGTGACAGTTTTGATTTTAAGTGATGTAGAAAGAACGAGTTTAAACGTGTTTTGGTTTTGCCGAGCCCCCCCCCTCTCCTGCCGCTCCTAAACTCACAAATACCAACGCAATTAGTAATTTTCCCTTCTGTAAGGCCCTCTGCAGCCGATTGATCGCACATGTTTGTGAACAGACTGATGAACATGTGAAGCCCAGGTTACGAAGCATCTCAATACTTCTGTGATTAAAAGGACAATTTAGTGTTTTTACACCAGGAGAATGATCAGACCCCATCATGCATCACGTAGCTAATGACCATACGTAGAAGGCCTGGCTGCAGGGCATCAGACATCCCGCCACCCACACACTGAGATAGATGGAGGGAAGCTGTTTTCTATCATGTTTGGCACACGGAGTTTGAACTCCTGGTTTCCTGCAAACAGTTTCCATATAATCCCAGAAAAACTGACAATTTCATCAAAATTATATGATGTTCTCCCCTTTCAGTGTTTGGTGCCAGATGGGTGAAATGGAAACAGAGAAACGTTTACACTTATTAGATAATGAAATCATGTATGAGCCACAATAAGTCACTATATTTGACATATGTGACTGAATTGTTACCTGTTATTTTCAGGTATTAATTCAGTTAAAAGCACATGACTGAAGGGTGCTGTAGTCCTGACTCAGGTCGTCAAAGGTTTCCAGGAAATTTGCATAGAAATAAACACGTTAAAAAAAGACCACATGTCCAACATGGACATGGCCTAAAAGGCTGCTGAATGAAGTTTCACAAACATGATTATCCTCTGCAGTCCTGTGCAAAACTACCTGCACCATAACTCAACACTGCATCAGTCAGCAGCAGGAAATGAAGTGGTGATTTCCTGTGTGACTTCTTTGGTCTCTGACGTCGTCGCTGAGGAACTTTGGCCACTCCACTCGTTCACGCACAGCATCTCAGTCAGGTTGACGTCTGCACTCTGACAGCAGCTCGATTCAGCTCTTCTGTCAGAGTTCTGCTGCCGTGCTTGGATCGTTGTCCTGTTGATGACCCTGTCCGAGCTTTAGCTCACGTTTGACTCCAGACGACTTTGGGGAACAGAGGTCCAGGCAAATGGCCCAAATGATTGTCCTTCCTCCACCGTGCTGAGCGCTGGTATGAGGTGCTGCTCTGCATTGTGGACATCATCTCCACTTTGGTCTCGTCTGTCCAAAGGACATTAATCCAATCATGAAAAGCTAAGCTGTGCTGCCAAATAAGCCACACCCACTCGGTGCTTTTCAGGTCAGCAGGTCTCTGTGCATGACGTCCTCTCAGAAACAATCACATCCTTATTTCTGGCTGCAAATACACATTCATGGTCAAACAGTCTCTAAACTGCAGCTCACTTTTACATATTTGCACGTCCTGCTGTTGCTCTGTCCTGCAAACATCACTTTAAACAGTCTAACGCTTCAAACTGAAACACCTTGAACTCATTTGCACAAACTTGCACGCTCGGCTGTTACAAGCGAGCAAATGATGAACAGCTTCATCAGACAAAGCTACGCTACTGCGCCCCCTACAGGCGGTTACATCAGAGGAGCGGACCGAGGACGTTGTTGCTATGTTGCAGTTTATTTTCGTCCACGATGATATGATTGTGTTTGTGTTGCTAACACTGTCGCTAACGACACTCACTGTCAGCGCTTTAAGGTTCCTGTGAGGGAAGCAAATAAAAGTGCTCATATGTGGTTTGAGGAGAATCAGCAGGAAATGCAGCACATGATTAAAGCAGGAGATGAGGTGTTAGTGTCTTCCACATGGGCTCCGACTGCCAAGCGCATCCGGCTGCGATGGAACGAGTTTGGCTTTAAACGAAAAGCCAAAATGAGCGGAGGGAAAGCAGACGAAATGAAAAAGGAAATCCATCAGCCGGCCGTCCTCCTGCTGCTCTGCTGCAAACATCAGCCCGACATTAACTGATACATATTTACTATTATTCGTTTTCACAGGAGAGGCAGATTCGGTGTTTCTATATTTAGTGAATGGTTTTTAAACTCTTTGTCAACAGAATGAAGCTTGGTGAAAGTCCCTGCCCTGCCTGGAGGGTCGTGGTGGGCTGAGCAGCCACTCTGGGGCGAGTCCAGGTTTGATTCTGTTACGTCTCCTCCATCTTTCTTTTCTACTGTCAATCTGTCCTGTCATAATTAAAGCCATCAGGATCCATGAGGATATTTTTTAAACCAAATTAATTTTTAGATGACTCATCATACCTCTGCAATGCCCGAGGTTTAAAGAGAAAGTGCAGATGTGTTGTTGCTTTGATCTGAAAACACACATCTCTGTGCCGTGTCCCGGCTCAGACTCACTCAGTCTGACGCATTCACGACTGATTTTTGCTGTTTTAGAGAGAAAACCTCCAAAAGTCCTATGAGCAAGAACTTGGTGACGGCGGGAGGAAGAACTCCAACAGAACCAGGATCAGGCAGTTTTTATTAAAGCCATTCAAAGGCACCTCTGAGAAATATTAGCATCTTATGAAGTTCAAACATGTAAAATTAGTTGCTTAGCAACACTGCTAATGATTTTTTTAAATCATAAAACTTCACAAAACTGAGTATTTGCTTCATGGTGTCGTGTATTAATAACACTGAATACAGAGCGTGTTGTAGAGCAGGCTGATGAGTTTATGCATGAAGGTGGATGCTGGGTGTTTAAAGACAGTGAGTGGTTACTAGTGATGCGTCGGCCGCGAACGAAACGGCTCTTAGAGCCGGGTCTTTGACGTGAGCGACGCGAGCCGGCTCCTTATTGCGAGCCGTGTTTTTTTTTTTTCTTTCTCTCAGCCTCTCTCGCACGTGCATGTGGAGTGAATAAATAAAAGTATATTTTCGGTGGCTGCTACAGACAAAACACATAATAACTCAAAACACGTATAAAACACAACAGAAGTGCTCCAGGATGCTAGGGCGCAGTGTCGAGCTTTTGTTACCTCGTGGCTACACAAGCCGGCAAGTACCAACGACCGGATTTGGTGTGTGGTAGTAACAGGTAAATGAACTTTTTTTAAATTATTTGAATATATATGAATGCTTGTGTATAAATACACAAACAATACACACATGCTTTCATGCTTTCAATTGTGTAATTTAAGTGATCTAGGTAGCTGTTTTGGAAGTTCAGTTAACGCTAGAAATGTTTTTTGGAGTTTGTACGTGTTTTGTCTCTAGGGGCCACCACATATATTTATATATAAACATATATGAATAAAACCACTGTTTTTTTACATTAGTAATTCCTTTTGTGCATAATTTTATATTATTGTTAATAATAAATTAATTAAAGCAACAAAACAACCTGAAGAACCGGCTCTCTATAAAGAAATCCCATCACTAGTGGTTACTTTACAGGTGGACGTGGGACCACCAGAGTCCACACAGCGCTGATCGGTCCAAACCCGGCAGGATCCTGACACTCCAACAAATTTATGTCCCCATCACTTTCCAAATCAAACCCACTCTAGTAACCACGGTTACTGATGTTTATTAAATATTTGCAAATTAGCTGGAAAAAGACATAAACAGCAGCTCCATCTAAATCTCCAGGCACATTCAGCTCCCCTGTCACGAGGGGTCACTGCAGTGGGTAGCTTTCCTCCACATCCACCTACTGACATGACCCCAAAGCAGAGCTCTGTCTCCACCTGGAAAGTGAACCAGCAACCGAGCGGATGTGTGAACCTCCACCTCCCAAACCTTTGAGTGGTAGCTAAAATGACCCCCCGAAGAAAAAACTATTGTAGGTTACATTTCTTTGTTTAATTGACTTTGAAATTTCAAAATTGTGACTTTCGCCGCCATCTGGAGACGCTGAGTTTCACTTCCAGTCACGGAAACATGAAAGCGGCGCTTTGATCTCAAACCTGCGCTCAGCGGACGGAGTCACTGAAGTTTAACGCCATAAAATCTGCAGTAATTTAGTGTTTATGGAGCCCAGAGATTTCCTCTGGCACTGCAGCCCAACCTCACAGATCATTCTTACAGGCGTTTGTCATGGAAGTGACAGACTGTTCGTGTCCTTCAAAATAAAAGACCAACACACCCCCATCACTTACACTTTGGATATCCTCTAAGGTTTGCAGACTGTGATTGCTGTTATGACTGCGGTCACATAAAGCAGGATTTTTATGGTGTGTGTCAAATGTTTGAAGTTCATTTTGAGCTCAGCAGTTTTGTGCTTCAGGCTGTGAACGCTGCTCACAACGACACACCGCAGTTTGATATTTCTACCTGCAGACCTCTTTGGAAACTTCACTGAGGATCTTGTAAAGAAACGTGTGTCCTCCACACTGCTCCACCCTCTCTACATGACCTGGTGAAGGTCCTGGATAAGGGGACAGTGAGGACTGTGGATCTGTTATGTGAATTATGGAAATATGTGCGTGAGCCGAACAGGTTTTTACTGGACTGTCTCCGTGTGGTTCCACAGTGTGAGAGAAAAACAGCAGCTGGCTTCACATTTTATTCATTTTATTAAAATTATTCAGTTTTAAATGGGGCCTTTCTGCTTTTCCATACTGGAAACACTTTGGTCTGAGTCATAGCACAACACGTATATTACTGTATGTGTTGTATATGCAGTTAATGGTGGATGCTTCTGTCTAACATGGCAGAGTTTCAGATCAACACGACACGTCAAACGTCTCACAGGAGAAAGGGGGCCCCTCTCCGGGAACAACACACGTTTCTTTAAGAATGAAACTTCTGATTTTTCCCCTTTTTTGCTGCTTTCAGTTAAACTGATAAATTCAGTTCAGGTGATCTGATGCTGGAGTCTGTGCACGTCTGCCAAAGAACCACTGAGGAGGTAGAGAAGTGAAACTCAAAGACTTTAAAGCTTAACCTGCCGCGTACCTGGCTGCTGAAGGTGATGTAGTAGGTCTCATACTGGACAGGAGGCGGAGTCCAAACCAAAGCGACTGACGTGTCTGTGATGTCCTGAGTGCTCAGCCGGGAAACACCAGACATGACTGAAAGAGAGAAACACAGACTTAGCTGCACAATGAGACTCAGGCTAACACCACCGTGTGCGTTTGTCTCCACGTGTTTGTGTGGCAAAAACTCAACATTCCTGCTTTAGCGGACGCCGCGCTATGCTGACCTCATGTTATAGGACAGAGGCGAAGCAGCTAGCAGCACAACAACAAACACGACCTCTTCACCTGGTAGATGACCTGGCTTCATCCACCAACACCATGGCATCTGGGAAGGAGGCCCTACAGCAGCTCCACCCTGTCCCAGTGGCTGGAGCGGGCCAGCCTACCACGCTCAGCCCTCTCCACCTTTACATGACCACCACTGAAAGTGGAGCACAGCAGACTGCCAATCGACAGAACATGCTATCAACTGTTTAAGACAAGTGCACATTTACTGAGCAAATATGCAATTAAGTTTATTTATACAGCAACAAATCACAACAGCAGTCGCCTCAAGGCGCTTTATATTGTACAGTGGACCCTACACTATTAGATACAGAGAACAACAAAAACGCTGCGGACACAGCAGCAGTTTTAAAAAAGATTTTAAGATTAATTTTTTTGCTCCTCTCACTCTAGCAGTTGAGCTGTCTCACTCTAGCCCCAACATTCCGTCCCATACACACCCATTATAAACTCTGAAACGGGTGAAAAAACATCATGAAACTTAAACTGGAACTGAAGAAAAAGTATAATAGATATTGAAAAGATAAATACAAGTTGAATAGTTGAATGTCTTGTCTTCGTTTTAAAGTTTGAATGGTGGCTCTATGTCAACGTATGTGGAAGTAGTAAGAGTTTAAAAATGAGTAAGTTGAATGAGAATTTGAAGGGTCTCCCCATTGAAATACATGGGAAATTTTTGTTGAATAAAGTTGAATAAAATTAAAAATATAAATGTTAAAAATGAGAAAAGTAGAAGCAGTCATGTCCAAAAGAATAGGAATCTAACGGTGTTTGAATGGTTTTTCTAAGTTGAACGGTTTTGAAGGAGTAGGAGTACAAAAAACGTACGGAATAGATAATAAAATAGAATAATAAAGATTAGAAGAACAATACTGTGAATGCTTTTCAAGCATTCACACTAACTAGAAAGTGCATTTTCTGAAGAAACTGCAGTGTGAATGCTTGAATCTGAATGTATGCACTGAAATGAATTAATTGCTGAATTTTGAGTTAAAAATATTGAATGAAATAAAAAAAAAAAAAACGAATTTAACCTGAAAACAAAGGTGCTGAACTGCTAAAAGCTGAAGGTTACACAGAAGAAGAAGTTGGAAAAAAGCTGAAAATGTTTTAAATGTAAATTAGAAAACCCTAAGAAATGAGAAAAGAACATTTAGAGTCAGAAAACATCTGAATGAATATTAAAAGTTCATATTCTTTGAATCACTGAATGACTAAAATGTGATCCCTCCACTTTGATCCACACAGTTTAAAAAGTTTACATGTCTGAGCTTTGAAAGACAATATGTTGGAAAGAGAACAACGATGGCGACGTTTTGAGGGTAAAATGATGGCTGTAACACTGTGGACACAGCAGCAGTTGAAAGAGAAGTGTTTAAGATGAATCTTGGCACAGTGGCAGGCAGAGCTCGTTAAGCAGGCAGGTGTGAGCCTGGTTGCTATAGTGACCGCACCCAATGGCTCCATACACACGTACACAGACATGCGCCTCACTTTTGCTGCTTAAAATGAACAGAAAAGTCAGGCCGAAACAAATCGTTCCCAAATGAAAAGTAAAAGTCGTATTGACAAAATTCTTTCACCGTGAGCGACAGCAATGTCTAGTCTACCTAATTCTCAGTTTTCATGCCTGTGGAGCTTATTATATGGACGTGGTGACAGTGGAAAGACACCATGCTCTTCTGATTTTCAAACGAACCTTCTGAGCCATTTTAACATTAGAGTCTATGGAAGAGTTGGAGGGAGGAGGCTGTGCATTGGTGGCATTTATGAAAGAACCATAACACCTAGTACAATAGTAAACACATTGGACGAAAGAGGACAGCGATGGCTACGTTTTGAGGGTAAAATCATACCTGTAGAGCAAACGCTGCGGACACAGCAGCAGTTTTAAAAAAGATTTTAAGATTAATTTTTTTGCTCCTCTCACTCTAGCAGTTGAGCTGTCTCACTCTAGCCCCAACATTCCGTCCCATACACACCCATTATAAACTCTGAAACGGGTGAAAAAACATCATGAAACTTAAACTGGAACTGAAGAAAAAGTATAATAGATATTGAAAAGATAAATACAAGTTGAATAGTTGAATGTCTTGTCTTCGTTTTAAAGTTTGAATGGTGGCTCTATGTCAACGTATGTGGAAGTAGTAAGAGTTTAAAAATGAGTAAGTTGAATGAGAATTTGAAGGGTCTCCCCATTGAAATACATGGGAAATTTTTGTTGAATAAAGTTGAATAAAATTAAAAATATAAATGTTAAAAATGAGAAAAGTAGAAGCAGTCATGTCCAAAAGAATAGGAATCTAATGGTGTTTGAATGGTTTTTCTAAGTTGAACGGTTTTGAAGGAGTAGGCTTTCAAAAAACGTACGGAATAGATAAAATATAATAATAAAGATTAGAAGAACAATACTGTGAATGCTTTTCAAGCATTCACACTAATAAAGATTAGAAGAACAATACTGTGAATGCTTTTCAAGCATTCACACTAATAATAAAGATAATAGATAATAATAATAATGGCTGTATTCAGTGACTTGCAGATGGATCACACACAGACGAACATCATCGGCGCCACAGTTTAGTCACCTCATCACAAACGTTCCTGTCCATGCTCCGTGCAGTCGACACTGGTGAATAACCCTGCAGGTCTTCTTCCTCCTCATTTTCTCTGTCCTGTGATTGATGCAGTGGAACAAGCAAAGTGTTTGTCCTGCAGCAGGAGGCTTTTTCTCCTCCATCTTACCCAAACCAAAGTGATGCATTTATCAGAGTTTGGCATCAGCCTTAATGAAACCTTAAACCATCTGCTCCCTGGCACCACAACAACAGGACAAACCATTCGATCTGATGTGCAGGTTGAAAATGACACTGCTCCAGTGATGAAGGGTGGTTTTCTCATTAAGGCTCATATCCAGGTCTGTGATTTCCGAGCCACAGCATGAGCTCAGATGAGGAAGAAGAGGCAGATTTCAGTCTTTGAGGGGAAAATTGAAAAGCAGCGGGAGCTGGCTGAGACCGATCGAGGAATCTTCTGGTGACCACAAACAGGACTCAGTGATGTGGAAGTGAAAGAAGCTGCTGGCCAACACATTCACTGTAAGTTTACTGAGGCGATAATACATCAGAAAAGCTCTTTA